GGACCCGCGGCCCTCCCTCGCAGGAAGCTGTACATCGATATGGCGCGGCTGCGTTGTGAGGTGGCGCCACGCCACGGGTGCGAGTGAGAGAGACAGATATGGAGAGACAGAGAGAGGGGGAGACATAGAAAGAGAGACAGAGAGAGAGAGAGTGGAGGCTGTGGGCCCCCGCTGGGCAGCTCTGACGTGCCGTGCCGCTCGCCAAACTTTGTCTAGCGTTATTATAGCGTTATTATACTCCTGACAGGCGCCTGTCGAGCCCCGCGGTCAACGACCGACCCGCACGCCAGCAGCAGGCCAGAAAGCTGAGCAGAGGGCGCTCCTGTAAAAGTTTGCAGGGGGTTCTTGCAGGGGGGATGAGGAGAAGGTGGTGGAGTTATCTTTTTCACGGTGAGCTTCACTCGATCTCGGTGGGCTGGGGCTGGAACCGCGTTTCGGCGGCGGTGATACGCATGTTGTGTCAGTATTATGACGATCATCGGGCATTGCGCAATACAACGTACAATAAGAAGGAGTAATGGGTTTACGGTTAACTGTCCACCGTCTACACTGCTCTCCGCTAGTATTAGAGATCATCCAGAAAGCAAGTCCGTCATATTGGCCGTTACGAATCTTCGAAGCCCATCCGAGCTCTCAGCGAGCGCCTGGTTGGTAGGCACCATCTTGCCTGCAGTGCAGGCGTGTGCTGCGGGGTGGCCTACTCTGAGTCCCGCAGGCGCCCGAGCTGCCGTGATTTAACCGAACGAATCTGAGAAAAAAAAACCGTACGTACTAACAAGTCGACCCCGTACTCCTCGACCCCTTTCCCAGGTAACTTCACCTGCCTGGCGGTGGTGTTCAACCTGCGCCGCCGGCTGGGCTACCACCTGTTCCACTCGTACATCCCCTCGGCGCTCATCGTCATCATGTCGTGGATCTCGTTCTGGATCAAGCCCGAGGCCATCCCCGCCCGGGTCACCCTGGGCGTCACCTCCCTCCTCACGCTCGGTATGCATGATGAGCCCTAGGGGTTTTGATTTTCCAAAATAAAAGTAATTTTGGGAAATTTGTCAAAAAATTGTTTTTTAAACGTCTGAATTTTTTCCGAGACAGTTTTAATTTTTCTGACAATAATGCTATTACACAAGCTTTCCCGGAAAAGTTTTCAACTTCTTCCGGAAAACGTTTTGTTTTTAAAATCTATTTATGAGCCCACCACGCTGGGCTCCACTCTGAGGGTTTGCCGCTAACTGATTCCGTTGCGTGGCCCCAGCGACCCAGAACACGCAGTCGCAGCAGTCGCTGCCGCCCGTCTCGTACGTCAAGGCCATCGACGTGTGGATGTCGTCCTGCTCCGTATTCGTTTTCCTCTCGCTCATGGAGTTCGCCGTGGTCAACAACTACATGGGTCCCGTGGCCACCAAGGTCATGAAGGGCTACTCGGAGGACGACATCCAGGCGGCCGTCGAGGACATGAAAGTAAGAGAGAAGCATTTATTTTTTTTGAAAGTGAATCTGTTTGGCGCGTATCGTTCTATGTGCACAGCACTATCTGAGAAATTTTGTACAGCAGAATTTTTCTAAAAATGTCCGAATTTTTTCCGAAAATGTTTTACTCTTTTCAAATTTTCTGGTAAATTTTTTTGGAGAAATTTTTAATTTTGCCGGAATAACTTATTGCACGTGTTTAGGAAGTGTCACCCGAAACGTGTTCCAGGAGCTGGAGCCCGGCGCACGCAGCCCCCTCCGCGCGCAGTCCGTGCCCACCGTGCCGCAGTACGACACCTGCTGCGAGGGACGGGCCACCGCCCTCTACATCGACAAGTTCTCCCGTTTCTTCTTCCCGTTCTCCTTCTTCATCCTCAACGTCGCCTACTGGTCCACTTTCCTGTGAAAAGTGCTGAAGTGCTTGACATGCCTTGCCCAGTGAGAAGTTAATGTCGAAACGACATCGAAAAGACAGAATTGATGTCGGGAACGATCTCGTTTCGACATCGTTTCCATTGTCATTTCGCACTGGAATGTACTCTGACGATATGTGATGTGTCATAATGTGGATGTCTTCCGATCTCGCCGCTCCCTGTGGCTGTGGAGGTATTAGTCCTAAAGCACATACCTTTAACCGACGTCCTCAGTAGAATTTTGAGTGACGTCACTTTTTTCTCTTTCATCTGAAATTAACGTCGTAATTCAGTTCGTGGAGCTCTTTTCTCAAACTTTCGTAAAATTTTAAGTAGGTCATTGACACTACCGGGCTGATTTAGTTTCAAAGTTACTCCAATTTCTCTATCTTCTGTGCATACCAGAACTTAGTGTCTCACAAGTTATTGTAATTTTAATATTGATCCTAATTTTTATCTCGTCAATAAATGTGGTGTATCCGTTTTTGTATTCTATCTAAAAACTCGGACTTTTAGGAGTCACAGATAAAAGAAGAATATGTGTGTAATTTTTACGCAATATGAGTGAGTATGCTTCTCCATCGTTCTCCATGCCCATTAGTGGGGAAAGTCAAAAGATGTTTGATAATTTTTATGAAACAAATGTATCACTGCCAACCCCATGGAGCTGGAAAACTACATTTTTAAAAGCATCGTATAATTGTTTAACTTTTAAGACTAGGCAGAAACGGCGCGCTATTGTCTTGCCTAAATGGTTAAGATGAAACATAGATTAAGTAATGCTGTACATGAGTATAACAAATTTATGATTTTCAATTGTTTTGACATTACATGAAACAGCTTGCAAAGTCATATAATGTTTACGATTTGGATTCAGACGTAAGGAAGCGTGGATAAAAAATAAACACATGTTTTTCACTGAATGACGGGCAACTAGTAAAAGTTTAATTTATGTTAATTTGTACGTGTTAGGAGAAATATCTTCGTATGTGTAATTGGAAAGGATGTGTTTCTTAGTTAATTTATGATTACGTGTACAATAACCGTTTCAACTTGGAATTATTAAATAAATAAAAGAAAAACTGTTTCGAGATGCACGCATGTCATTTTTCCTCATATGTCCGTACAGAATATATAAAACAATGAATTCA